CGTGGCCCGGCCACTCAGCACTACTCTGTTCCCCTCTGGGATCCGGACGAGTCCCAGGGCTCCGCGGTCGGTCTCGGTGCTCGTGCAGGCTCCTGGTAGAGTTACACAGCTCTGTCGCCGGTATAGTGATGCACCACCATTGACGTTAGAAGGAATCAAGGACCGTGTTCTTTATGTCTTGAAACTCTATGATAAGATTGACCCCAAAGAACTTTCAGTAAATTCCCATTTTATGAAAGACCTGGGTTTAGACAGTTTGGACCAAGTGGAGATTATCATGGCCATGGAAGACGAATTTGGTTTTGAAATTCCGGATATAGATGCAGAAAAGTTAATGTGCCCACAAAAAATTGTAGATTACATTGCAGATAAGAAGGATGTATATGAATAATATATCAGACCACCTTTCTTCCCTGTGAGAAGACTCGGATGACTCTGCCGAGTGTCTAGAAGTAAGGCGGCCTAGCAGCATCATTGCTGAAGTTAACAGAGTAATTCGGTTGGACTTGTATTTAAGTTGTCTTAAGTGTTTTGCCCTTTGAAAATAAATCTCTAAAACTGAAAAAAAATGAGGACCTGATGCCAGGGGCTTAAGTGGAGAGCAAATGTTTTGAGAATGATGAGGGCAACGAATGTACAAATATGCTTTACACAATTGATGTATGTATGGATTGTGATAAGCGTTGTATGAGCCCCTAATAAAACGATTTTAAAAAAAAGAAAGAAAAGACAAAAAAAAAAAAAAGGCCTCTTTAGAGCTTTGATAAGCATGGGTGTTACTTCGATGACTATTTTGCTTCATATGCCTGTGAAAGTTGGATATTGAATAAGGAAGGCTGAAGAAGACGACATGTTTGAATTGTGGTACTGGAGAAGATTATTGATAGTCCCTTGGACTTCTAAAAAGATAAACTGATCTATCTTGGAAGAAGTACGGCCAGAATGCTCCTTAGAGGCAAGGATGATGAGGCTGTCTTCCGTTTTGTGAGGAGAGACCAATTTCTGAAGACGGACGTCATGTTAGATAAAGTAGAGGGGCAGCTCAGGAGAGAATGTCCTTAAAGGAGCGGAATTGATACCGTGGCTGCAACAATGGTCTCAGACACAGGGACAATTATGGGGATGGGCAGGACTGAGCAGTGTTGTGTTCTGTTGTGCATAGTGTCGCTGTGGGTTGGAACCAGCTACATGACACCGAACATCCACACCAACTATCACCCATAGCTCTCTCCAAACCAGGTGTTCAGAATTTAGCCTCTAATTCCATTCCTTCTATTAGATTTGGATTTTATTATTTACAATCCTTCATATCCTCCCCCCGCCCTTCTTTTGTCAAAAGAGCTTGTGAGAATATTGACTCAGACTTGTTCTCTGTAATTGTCTTTCTTCCTTCTCACCGGCATCAGCAAGGAGAAAGCCAGCGCAGTGTGAGCAATGTTAAACTTCTTTCCTGAAATCTAAGAGCTGAGTACTTGCATGCCCTCCCCAGTCAATACTTCTGTTTTTCTTGATAGACATAAAATTGCCCCTTTCCCACTTGCTGTTAGCTACCATTGAATTGGCTCTGACTCCTGATGCTCTCAGGGAAAACAGAATGAAACACTGATCAGTCAGTCCGGTGTCACTCTCTTGATTGCTGATATGTTTAAGTCAATTGTTGAGGCCATCGTGCCTTTTGAGTGCCTTTTAAATTAAGGGCTCGATATTGGTACGATAGTGAATAATATTCTATTATGATTCATAGAATTTTCTTGGGTTAATTTTCAGAAGAAGATTGCCAGGTTTCCCAGAGTCTGGAAGGTCTGCTGACACATGTGCACCATGCTTGGACTGGAAATATAGATTCTGAGTTTCCATAATCATAGCAACATGCAAGCCTCCACAGTACGACAGACTGACAGGGCAGGTGGTGGTTCTTCACTGCAGAGTAAAATTAAAGATGAAAAAGCTCTGTTTTTCACAGGGAGTCCAGGATAGATTAAACGCCCAGGGCCAACAATGAGAGTAGAGATACCAGGAGGATTAGGGGAGGGGAGGGGGAGAAAGGCGGGATCAATCACCAGGATCAACCTGTAAGCCCCTCTCAGGGTCAAACGATGGAAAAGTGGGTGAAGGGCAATGGAGGATGATGTAAGATATGAAAATAATAATCTATAACTTTGTGAGGGACTGGGGGAGGGAGGAGAAAGAAATGGGGAGCTGATATCAGGGGCTCAAGTGGGAAGAGAATGCTTTGAAAATGATGATGGCAGCATATGTGCAAATGTGCTTGACACACTGGATGAATGTATGAATTGTGATAAGAGATGTAAGGGTCCCCAATAAAAGTATTTAATTAAAAAACAAGAAAGCTCTGTTGTTTTGATTGACATAAAATAAGTGGCTGTTTCTAAAACAAAACAAGAATTGACTACCATCGAGTCAATTTTGAGTCATAGTGGCATAGGACAGAGTAGAACTGCCCCTTTGGGTTTCTGAGACTGTACCTGTTTACAGGAGTAGAAAGCCTCATCTTTCTCACTCAGAGCGGCTGGTGGATTCGAACTGCTGACTTTGTAGTTGTCAGTCCCATTTATAATGTACTACACCACTAGGGCTATACAAGCCTGTTTACATTCTCCTAATTCTATATCACTAATGGAGATATCTCCCTGTACTGTGTGGCAGGGAATATTGCCCACTGACTGTCTCTTAGATTTTTTTTTCCATTTAATTTCCTTACTTTGTGTAATTGTTTCTTTTGTTTTCTTTAGTTGCATATTCATTGAATTCATTAATCTATAACCATGATCTAGGCATCTAAAATGTTTGCACACATACTCCCCAAACATATGCATTTATATGCACTATATAATATAGAAAAATAGAGATTGAAGAGGAAAATTGAAAACTATCCTAAAAAGAAATAGTCCCATTTTATTTTTTCTTATATACATAAAGCACAGGAACATAAAGGCAGTGGAATCCAAAGAAAAGTCCTTGGTGTCCTACAGAATTCCACAAAGCGCCTGGGTTATGTTACACACTGTGGCTGATGAGAATATTACCCGGGGTAGGCCCCCCAACATACTAATATAATTTCCATTAAAGTTCATGGCAGTTTTATGTATGCCTTTATGAGGGGAGACTCTCAAATACTACTACTGTTCTATATCTAGGGGACTAAAGTACTTTCAGGAAAGACTTTTTAATCTTCTTGTGTTTGAAAAACATAAAATGAGGTGATGACTGGCAAATGAGAGCAAGCCTGTTTAATATTAGGATTATGACGCAAATTGACAAAAGCCCAAGCATTCCAAGTCCAAGTTGCCAGGCACCTTCCCCTTGCTCCCACACGAGCATAATGATGTATTGTCAGCCTTAGCTGAGGGTCAAAAGGGTTATTAGACCTTGTACTCCATCTGCTACCCTTGCAAAGGAAACAATTGAACTCACACTGCCTGCTCTTTTCTTTGGGTTTCGGCCACCGTCCTTACAGTTCATCTGGACTCTCTGTGTACTTGCTGCCTTGAGTAGAACATTTTCCAGGACTGTCAGAAAGCAGAGTGAAATCTCAGGTGAGAGACATGAAGCAGAGTTTGCAGTTACAGTGTGGGGGAAGGTGCTATAGGGCGAGTCACCCGATCAGTCCAACCACCCCGTTGTCTCTGTCGAACACCCACACTATTTTCACATGGCTTTTCTCGTGAATCTTGGTGTTGGTTTTCCTTTTTAAATGCCTTTAAAAAAATAAGTGTGCATGTATTTGATTTTTATTGTGGTTGTTACGTTAGGGTTGATCTTTTAAAAAATAGTATAAATTAGAGATGAACAGCCTTTAAATGTCTGTTATTTTGGGGATCAGAGGTCAGCCCCATCTTGTGTGCTGGAGTGCTCTTCCTGGGGAAACTGTCTTTATGCACTAGTGATGTGAGTGTGCCATGCATGCGTGTCTGTCGCCTAGTTAAGGTAGCTTGTGGATGCTATACAGCTGCCTCTGTGTTCCCTGTTGCTTCAGCCCTTTTTTCCAGCCATCGCAAGAATCACTGAAGTTACTTGTACCACAAATAAAATTTGCTCCTCTAAGAATGTGCCAAATGACTTCAGAAAAGGTGATGGTTATTTAAATCCTGGAACCTCAAGTCAACATTTTAGAAGAGTTTTTCTTTCATTAACTATTTATAAAGGCTTTCACTGTGTCTCGGTGGACTTTCCCACTGCAATTAGCACTCTCAAGATCCACCAGGCTACATTATGCTTAAAGGAAAACTTTCTTGTTGCATTAACTTAAACTTTCTTCCCATGACCGCTTCCATATGTTCTTTTCTTTGGGATCTGCTTTTGTGTTTTGTAAACCTGTGAGCTCTCAGGAACAAATTTTGTTTCTTTAAATAAGCATGCAGTTAAGAAATATGTACAAACCATTTACAATGAGTATAGGCAAGGACGGAGTTCCCGGGTGGTTCAACAGTTAAAGATTCAGCTACTATTGAAAGACGGGCAGTTCAAATCCACTCTAAGAAGAAAGGCCTGTAGCTCTACATCCCAATCCAGGATCATGGCCACTGAAATCCCTGTAAAGCATAGTTCTACTCTGCAACATATGGGGCCATATAACTTGGAATCTAATCTCTAGTGACATTTTTTTTTGTATAGGTGAAAATGCATTCAATATGCTCAGTGCTGGTGGGTTTGCCTTTCATTATTATTATTTTTGTTTGGGATGAACTTGTTTGTCACTAGACTCCAAGTCCATTTCACTTTTCTCTTTTTAAAAGCCACTCAGACCATATTTAGGCTTGAGGGATAAGGAATCTGGAGGGGTTTTATTTGTTTGGTTTTTAAAGAAACATCTTCTATATATTTACGCAGCCTATCTCAAGAAATGAAATCAACAGCAATATCCTCTTAAACCCTCCATAAACACGGTTCATTACTTTTATGGGCAAAATTTTGATTCTTAAATTATATGTTTATTTTAAGATACAATTTTCCTTATGCAAGTTAAGAAATAGATTTTGAAGTTAACATTCATCAATATGGTTTGAGTTGCTTCTAAAACCCATGATAGATGTAGATATAGATAGTTATAGGCAAATGCAAGCCAATGGTCTTGGCCTGCATTTGGTTTTCAAGAGTTGCATTTTTATATAACCCTGCTAGTCAGAGGTTGAAATGATGCAATTAGAGCTGATTAGTAGTTTCTCATATTGTCAGACCGAAAGGCTCATCTGCTTCTCTTGTCCTGGTGACTTGCATTTGGGACCCTGGTGATATGTGGCCAAAGAGTTCAGTTACTTACTGAAATGTCGGCGGTTCAAACTCACTGGCCATTCCAGGGGAACAAGATGTGGCAGGCTGCTTTCCTGAAATGTGCAGCCTTGGAAACGCTGTAAGGTTGCAATGAGTGCC